GTGCGTGTGTGTGCGTGTAATCTGCTGACCTTCTTCAACTATTCCTCAAGAAGTGAAGTGGAACAACGAAAATAATTACGACGGCTACTTTCCATTGGTGTTTTTTTATTTATCCCTATGTGCATGCTCGGAACTGTGATATATATATATATATGTGTGTGTGTGTGTGTGTGTGTGTGTGTGTGTGTGTGTGTGTGTAAACATCTCAACACGTTGACTGAAGGGGGAAATAGGAAAAATGTAATTCCCAGGATACGAGTTTATTAGAATCTCTCTCTCTCTCTCTCTCTCTCTCTCGCTCTCTCTCTGGGTGACCTTACCCCCACTTATTCGTTGATGGAAAATCACTCGGAAGTTTAATTTGATAAGAATTGATGGTTTCCGACGATGTTAATCGGAAAGCTTTTTTCGTATATACATTTATGGCCAGTGAAGATGCACACGCGAAACATGTAACAAAATTCCGACGTAACAAAATATCCATTTACATGACAACGTTCGGGTGGCAATGCGAGCCACGCCTTAGCGCAAGGTTATATTCTATCCCTTTTACATTTTATAGTGTTATTATTCGATATTATTAATGACAATAATGATGATAATTATTATTGTGTGTACGTGTGTGTGTGCGTATGCGTATGTGTGTGTGTGTGTGTGTGTGTGTGTGTGTGTGTGTGTGTGTGTGTGTGTGTGTTTGTGTGTGTGTCTGCGTGCGTGCGTGCATTCATGCGTATATGTGTGTGTGTGTCCGCATGTGCATGTGTGCGTGCGTGCATTCGTGCATATGTGTGTGCGTGTATGTCATAAAAAAGTGGAAGACTGCATTGTTTAAATACAATATATGTCAGCCACTATAATGCCAAGAATTTACACTAATTTCAGTGTCTCTTCGTGTCTGGCCGGGAATAGATTCCTGACACCAGAATCCATGTAAACAAAACAACAACAGGAAAACCTACGACCACGCCTTTTCGCCTCAAAGCTCCTTTAAAGTATGAATGACTACAAGGCCGATGCTTTCCAACCTCCTCTTAGATCTAGACACAAACTCGAAAAATAAACGTTGTATCTATTTATACTTCTATCTCTGTCTCTCTCTCTCTCTTTCTCTCTCTTTACCTCCTCCCCCCCCCCTCTCTCTCCCTCTCCCTCTCTTTACCCCCCCTCCTCTCTCTCTCTCTCTCTCTCTATCTCTCTCTCTTTACCCACCCCCCTCTCTCTCTGTCTGTCTGTCTGTCTGTCTCTCTCTCTCTCTCTCTCTCTCCCTCTCTCTCTTTCTCTCTCTCTTTGCCTCTCTAATCCATTCCTAATCTAGTCGAGCCAAACCATGGTGATTTTGCCACAAGAACCGCAAAGTTTCATAGCCGAAATAAGCATATACTATCACAGTGCCAGAAACGGCAGAGTAGATGTACAAAGAAAAATAAGGTGACAAATTAGTTATATACGAAATGAACTGAAACCGATTTCCAAGAAAATGAAATGGTACCGAGAAAGACGCATTTTTTGTCGTCCTTTAAAGAAGACTTCACGGCATCTTGCGAAGGTTTTATGACAGACCTTCATGACGCGAGAAGTTGCCATAGATTGATACTGATAAATCTTTTCCTCGCTTCATACTGACTTATTAAAGTAAAATTACAATAAGCAATGACATATGTAGACTATGCGTACGTGTGTAAATGTGTGTTCGTGTGTGACCATGTGTGTATTTCTATATGCACTTGTATGATGTCGAGTGTGTGTTTCCAAAGCGTCAATCCCTATTTTACTCATAAAGAAAGAATGTGTTTGAGGAGTGACTCGAGCATGGTCGAAATCACATTGCAATCGTAGTACAGAACGTTAGAGAGGAGAGGGTTGTCCGTAATTCTTTCTCTCTCTCCCTCTTCCTCCTCTCTCTCCTGTCTTTTCCTAGCTCTCTTCTCTGTTCCCTCTCTCTCCTTCTCTCATCTCTTTTCTTCCTTTTCTCACATCCTCTCTCTTCTCTCTTTCCCCCCCTCTCTCCGCTTCTTTCCTCCCTCTGTCGTCTCCCCTGTTCTCCTCTTCCCTCTTTCACATCTCCTTTCCTCCCCCTTTCTTCTCCTCTATCCTCTCTCTGCTTCCCTTCCCTCTCTCTCTTATTTTCTCTCCTCTCCTTTCCTCCCTATCCTTTCTTTCTCTCCCTTCTTTCTTCCCCCATTTTCCCCTACTCTCTCCTTTTCTCCGTCTCTTCTCTTCCCTCTCTAGCATCTCCTTTCCTCCCTCTCTCCTCTCCTGCCCCCAATTCCCCTAATATATATCTCACCCAGTCTTTTACTACCAGTTTATTTTTTCATCGTTTCCCTTCCTTCTTTCTCATCTTCCCATCTAGTTTTTACTCTCCCTTCCCTGCCCTTCATTTTCTTCCCCGTTCCCTCCTTGCCTTCACCACCTTTCTCTTTTTCCAATAAAGAAAGAAAAATCTAAGTAATATATTCGTAAACCGTTGTGATTTGTTATATGATCAGTATTTACTTTAAACCTTTGTCTACGGGTTTCAGGGAGCAAATTTCACTCTATTACAAATACTTTCAAAGAAAACTTGGTCATGTATCTGAGGGAATTATCTGGTAGCCAAACAATCGCAAAGGTTAGAGTATGACACAAAAGCGACCGTGACAGGACTCGAACCTGCAATCTTCGGATCCGAAGTCCGACGCCTTATCCGTTAGGCCACACGGTCAGGATAAAGCAATATAAATGGACTAAGAAGACAAGGTGTATCTGTCTTTATATATCTGTATATCTATCTATCTATCTATCTATATGTATACATATATACGCAAACCATTAGTCAATGTTGACTTTGGCTTTATTGACTCTATCAGTGCCTTGGCGAAAGAAGGTGAGGAGCAAGCTGTTTCCCAAGCAGCAGGCTTCCCCTCTCCGCGCAGCTGATGGAGCCAAAGGAACGGCAAAGACCGATACGGTTTGGCATCGTTGCCAGAACGAGGCCGCAAGCGACAGTGAACTGGCTTAGGGACTCACTGATGCCACAAGGTAGTGGACTGTCTTGTATAGAGTGAACTCCCACAGCCTCTGACCTTGCACGGACTAAACTACAAGGCAGCAGTTGGGTATCAATATCATATCTGCAATATATGAATGCGTGTACATTGCGAAAGAGGAGTTAAAGTCATTGTTTTTAAACTATATATTTTTATATCCTACAGAAAAAAACAGAAAACAACAAATTTCAACTCGCGATCTGTAAAGACTATAAATCCTCACTAAACAATTGCAAATCACACACACAAAGCGGACGGAAAAGAAAGAAAAAGCGCTGTGGAGAGCTTTTCGTTGTTCTTTTTTCATTTAGGCTTTTTTTTTCTTTTTTTGAGTATCAAAGAAAATGTGTAGTTTGTAGAATGAAAAAATGTTACCTATGAAAGGATTTTTGATTCCCATAGAAATTTCCCGAATAATGGATACAAGTTGTTCTTCATTGCTTGTGGAATATTCTGGGCGTCCATTGTGGCCACAAATGATTTGATATTAGCTTTTTCTTGTTTTTTTTTTACGAACTTATTACCATTTGAGGTTATCTTTAAATACCATAAAGCTAATTAATATATTACATACAGAAGTTATTCGCACTTATAATCACCGTACAACTTCTGGACTGAAATGAGATGTTTGGTTTCAATGATAAATGCTGAATGTTATGACAAAGCTGTATCAATTTATCTTACAATTTTTATGTTTTTGAGTATATTCGCAAGCAAGGTCACACAAAAGCAATGGTAAAGGAATGATTATTGGATAATAGATTAATGGCATAAAAAATGCTTCTTCATCCAGAACTAATCGTCCTTTCGAGAGAGAGAGAGAGAGAGAGAGAGAGAGAAGAGAGATACACATGCATGCAAACACACCCACATATATACATGCCTGCACTGTTCCGACCACGCGCGCTGTTGAACACGAGCAGATGTTAGGGTTTTGATCTCGAACCCAGAATTCTGTACCAGGAAAATCTAATTACAAATGTTATCTGTCGCTGGAAATTTAATTTCAAATCTGTACTATTCGTATGCTTTTCATCATCTTTATGTTGGCATCATTATCATTATCTTCGTTGTTAGCATTGTTATTATTAACAATGACATTACCGTTATTACTATTGTTATTACCATTATTATTGTTATTATCATTAATATGATTGTTACCGTCATCACCATTTTCGTTATTAGCATTATCACCATCCTCCTCCTCATTATTATCATTATAATTATGGTTATTTCGAATATCACAAATACAATGGTAACTGTAATTTCCCGTATTCATCATTTCTTATTAGAACTTTTAAATCATAATTTGATATCCACAGTATCTGCATTTTTCTTGGTCATCAGGAAGCCGTTATAAGCATCCGGGTCTTAACAAATTATCCACGTAGGCCTACATATGATATATATATATATATATATATATATATATATATATATATATATATATATATATATATATAAAATTCATAGGTACATACATACATGATATATATATACATATTACATATATATATATACATATGTATATATATATATATGTATATATATATATATATATATATATATATATATATATATATATATATATATATATATATATATATATATATATATATATATATATATATATATATATATATATATATATATGTACATATATATATATATATATATATATATATATATATATATATATATATATATATGTATATATATATATATATATATATATATATATATATATATATATATATATATATATATATATATATTAATATATATGTATATATATATCTATATATATATTATATGATATATATATATATATATATGTGCCTATAGATATATAGTTAATATATTGTATATATATTATATATATAATATATATATATACTTTATGTACTATATATATAATTATATAGATATATATTATATATCTATATATATATATATATGTACATATATATATATATATATATATATATCTATAATAATTATATATATATATATATTATATAATTATATATTATATATGTACATATATTATATATACTATACTATATTATTCATATATATATATATATACCTCATATATATATCTCTATCTATATATATATATATAATCCTATATCTCTATTATATCTATATACTATTATGTACATCATATCTATATATTATCTATATCTATTATATATATATATAGTATATTCTCTGTACATATCTACTCTATATATATATCTAAAATATACTATCTATAGATCTATATATCTATACATCTCTGATCTCTGTACAATTCTATCGTATATTCAGATAGATCTCCTATATATATCTATATCTCCATCATATCTATATATCTACATCTGTATATATATATCATATCATGTATGTAGTAAGCTATGAATTTTATAATATATATATATTATAGTATTATATATATATAGATATATATATATATATCTATAGTTATTATATATGTATGTATATAATATATTATGTTATATATATGTTGTATATATATATGTATCATCTAATATATGTATGTATATATATATGTACTGTTATATATATGTTTAAAACAAAAAAAAATGTATATATATATATGTATGTATATATCTATGTTATGTTATATATTATGTTAATGTATATATATATGTATGTATATATATTATGGTATGTATATATATATGTATTTATATATATATATATGTCTATGTACAGATATATATAATATATATATAATAATATATATATATATATATATATATATATGGGGGTAGTATATATATATGTATATGTATTATGTATGTACATATATTATATATAATATATATATATATATAGGATATATATATATATATATATCTTATAATATATATATATATGTACATACATACATAATAGACATATCTATATATATATATTGATATATTATAGATATATATATATCTAATCTCTCTCTCTATCGCTCTCCTATCTCTGTCATCTGTCTGTCTGGGGGGGTTTCTGGGTACCTCTATCTCTAAGATCTCTATCTCTCTCTCTCTCTCTCTCTCTCTATCTCGAGTCTCCTCTAGAGCTACTCTCTCCCTCTATCGATAGATCCCTATTATATATCTATCATCTCTATATCTCTCTATCTCTCCTCTATATCTCTAACCTATCTATCTCTACTCTCTATCGTCTCTCTGGATATTCTCTCTAACTATCTCTCATTTCTCTATCTCTATCTCATCTATATCTCTAATCTCCTCTCCTCTCGCTCTCTCTCTCTTCTGTATCTATCGTCCCTCCTTCTATCTCTCTCTCTTCTTAGTCCTCTTCTCTATCTTATATCTCTACCTGTATGTCTCTCTTCCCTATCTCTATCTCTATCTATATTTACTATCTATCGTCTCTCTCTCTACTCTCTCTCTCTCTCCTCTCCTGTCTGTATCGTCTGTCTGTCCCTCCTCTCTCATCTCTCTCCCTCTATCTCTCTCTTCGTATCTATCTCTCTCTATATATCTCTATCTCATCATCTCTATCTCTCTCTATATCTATCTCTCTCTCTCTCTCTCTCTCCTCTTCTCCCCCTCTCTTCTATCTCTATCTGTCTGTCTCCTGTCCCTCTCTCTCCTCTCTCTCTCTCTCTCTACTCTCTCTCTCTCTTCTCTCTCTCTCTCTACTGCTCTCTCTCTCTCTCCTGTCCTGTCTTCTATGATCCTCTCATCTCTATCTTCTCTCATCTCTCTCTTCTTCTCTCGCTCTCTCTCTCTCTCTCTCTCTTCTCTCTCTGTCCCCATCTCGCTGCTCTCTCTCTTCTACCTATCTCTCTCTATATCTCTATTACTATCTCATCTCTCTCTCTGTCCTCTCTCTCGTCTCTTCTTATCTCTCTCTCTATCTCTCTCTACCTCTCTGTCCCTCTCTCTATCTCTCTCTCATATACTACTCTCTCTCTCTTCTCTCTCCTCTATCTACCCTATCTGTCTCTCTTCCCTCTTACTCTCTCTATCTCTCCTCTCTCTCTCTATCTCTCTCTCCTCTCTCGCTCTTCCCTCTCTCTCTCTCTCTCTCTCTCTCTCTCCCTCTCCCCTCCCTCGCTGTCTCTCTGTACCCTTCTCTCTCTCTCTCTCTCTGTTCTCTCTACGTATCCATCTCGTATCTCTCTATCTCTCTCTTTACTCTCTCTCTCCTCTCTCTCTCTCTCTCTCCTCTCTCTCTTCTTCCCTATCTCCTCTCTCTCTCTCCTCTCTCTATCTCTCTCTTTTCTTCTATGTCCATCTATCTTTATAGGTACCGCTCTATATCGCCTCTATCTATATCTCTCTCATATCTATCTCTATCTCTCTATATAATAATCTGTCCTCTCTATCTCTATTCATATGTATCTCACTCTATATCTATCTATATATCACATATATCTATCTCTATATCTATCTATATCTATATACTCTATATCTCTATTTCCCTCACCTCTCTATCTCTCTCTCTATATCATCTATACTATCCTATATCTATCATCCATATATCTCTTATATCTCTACTACTCTCTCTCTATCTCTACTCTATATAATATATAGATATATACTCCCTCTATGTCCCTACTCTGCTCTATATATCTATATCTATCTCTCTCTCTCTCCTCTATATCTATCTATCTCTATAGATCCTATCTGTCCATCTATATATCTCTCTCTATATATATCATTCTCTCTATATATATCTCTATATATCTATATTACCTATATGTATCTGTACATATCATCTCATATTTATATATATATTCTCTAATATCTCCATCTTATATATATAGACATATGTCTCTATATATGTATTGTTATATATAGCTGATCATGATATGTACCTTTGATTTTATCATATATATCTATATATATTCTATATATCTATATATCTCTCTATATATGTATAGTCTCTCTCTGATATGTATATATCATGTCTGTATCTCTCATGTATGTATCTATAATGT